CTCTGGCATGGCCCCTGGCACCAGGCACCAGCATCACCCCAGGACATCAACATGGTCTCAGGTAGCAGCCCAGACCACAGACATCTGAATGGCTTTTGGTGGCAGCATGGGCCATGGACATCAACACAGACCTGGGCTGTGGTAGGGCCACAGATCCAGACATGGCCCTTGGGGGTAGCCTGCCTGACATCACCTCAGGTGATTGCACAGCTCCTCATATCCACCTGCTCCTCGCCACATCTCCAGTTCCACCTCTCTCCACCGTGCACGATCAGCTCTGCTTGTCTTTATCTCCCCATCTCTCCACCACATATTTATACTCCATCTTTCCTATCTCTCCATCACATATTTGTTCATCATATTGGTGCTGGGGTCCCAGGGCGGGTGCTTGGGTGTCTTCTGGACATGCTCTGGGTTGCAGGGCCCTGGAGTAGGTGTTTGGGTTCATAAATTATATATTGGATATAAAATACTTCCAGTTTCAAAGTTGCAAAAACCTATTGAGCAAAGAAAAGCTTTGCACACTTTTCTAGCAAACCAGGTCACTGTAAAATGACACACATATGTAATTTTGCTTGTGAATAATGAATGATAAGCCAAAGAATAATAAGAGGAAGGAAGGCAGGACAGGGAGGGGGAGGGAGGGAGGGAGGGAGAAAATGAAAGAGATTAGCTTTATTGGGAGTAAACGTAAATGAGAATGTCTTTATTACTACAAAGTCAATTTACTTTGATTAGTCCTACAGAACTTTAATTCTAAACGTGACTACAGAGTAATTTGAATCAAATAAATGGAATGTGTAACTAGACAACATGAGAAAGAAACTGAAGATTGAGTCCAGCAAAGAATCGGCTTCTCAGGCTTGAAGGGAAAATAAGGTTGCAGACTTAGAATCAAAGCTTTCTGTTTTGCTGTACGTATTGTGAAGAAGAGAAAACATTCTGTTCTGAAATTTTGAAAATTAAATTCATGAAATAAATAAAAGAGGAGAGATTCACAGGAAAACAATCATTTTCATTGTGAGCATAGCTGACAATATGAAGCTTGAAGAAGGACAAGAAGGATGTTGAAAGTTGGATAGTACGAGTTTTGGGAGAGAGGGAAGAGGATGTGTGGAGAATAAAGGTTGTCTGATTATGAAGAAGAAAGGTCTCTGATAAATAAAAACTACCCCAGAGCAGACTGCCAACTGGGGCCTGTTGGCATAACTCTGACATGCTCTTTTCTAACTGGGTGTATAGTTTCTGATTTTTTATTCTTTATTCGGGGCCATTTGTTCTAGGCCCTGTAAATCCTACTGTCAACATGTGTGATACTTGCAATGTCTGGGATGAAGTTGCACATGTTGGCAAGACAGCCCACTGAAGCCTTTTTTCCAGAGTGCTAGCCACACCCCCTTGGCTTTTCACAGACAGTTGGTAAACTGGGCAAGGAGATACTGTTACTGATTAACATGGAGGAATGAAAAAAGATTCCAAGCATGTTGCCAATAAGAATCTGCTAAATAAAAGGCAAAGTTAAAGGAGAGTTGCTTTAATTTACTGAACCCTGTGTTTAACAAATGTCATCATTTATGATAAAAGCAACTATATTTTGACACTTATGATACTTGAAGTCTCCTATCTTATTTTTTTAATTCATTTGCACTAGTGGTCTTGTGATCCAAGGTTTTTTTTTAACCAATAGACAAATAGGTAGAGATGGTAAATGACAGATAGATAGATAATATATAGATGTAGATATAGATAGATAGATGATAACCCATATCATTTGACTAATTAACTGAAGGGGTAAAACATTCTGTTCTTTTTAATCTGGAATTTCAATAGATCATCTGTGTTTTCAAATTTTCTCTATGGAAACCAGCTTTGGTACTACTTATTTACATCCAGGTGTCATCAACAAATCACTGATGGAACCTAGTACAATGTCTGGGTAGTCACAATAGATCACCTCAGAATAACTTGTTTCCCACGTAATGTTATGACTAAGTCATGACTCACAGGTTAGCGAGGCGTGCTTAAGGTTTTTAAATCACTCAGTCTCCAATAGGGATGAATAAAGGGTCTGGGCTATTGAACTGTGCATTTTTGCTCCAACTGTTTGCACTTGTTGGGATAACTATTTCCCCCTTTACTAAGCCTCATTAGCAGCCACTGATAATGAAAACCAGTGCCCAGCAGAAACAGACCAGAGGAAATTTTCTGAACTCACTTGCATAACACCAGTTCATCAGTTCTGAAGATATATGAAGTGTGACTGCAGAGTATTAAGAGTGATTAGGTTTCCATGGTAACAGAACTCTTACATATAAAGAGCAACATCCCCTCAGGAGTCCTCAGGGCATCTATGTATTCCTATGTGATTGGTATAGAAGCATTTTTGGATTTCCCCTCTGGGGAGAATATTCCTTTGAGCATCTTTAGTAGTGGCAGTTTGTCCTTTGAGGAAGGAATTGATATTTGAAAATGGTATAATGTATTCATAGTATACATCTGTTGTTTTTGTCTACCCAGAAGTCTTTTTCCCAATTTCTGGTTGGAGAGACTGCATTTCTTCCATTGTTTCTGCTGTCTTTGAAGGTCCTTGAGGAGGAAATAATTTTTAAATGTCTTGGGAAGTTGCCATTTTACCTCTGGTAACTGAATCCATATTTTTGCCCTCCTTCTTTTCCATTAGGTCTAAGCTGTTTAGATGGGCTTGACTTGACTACTGGTTCTAGAGAGACAGACAATTAACACAGACAGGTCTGACACAACCATCAACTTAGACCACAGTGGTACTTGGTTCTTTGACTGGAACTAATTGGGGTGACTCATTTGAATGGCTACCATCTTGCTGCAATAGGAAAGAACCATTGTGAAAATGGACCCAGAACTTAAGAAAGTAGATCCTGAAACATGAGCAATAATGTATATATGTGTGTGCATACCTGTGAAAAACCATGTAAGGAGAGATGTCAAATCCTGATTTGTTTTTCTGGTAGAAAAAGCCTTTTTGTTTGTTTGCTTTGTTTTCAGAAAGTTGGTGGAAGAAACCATGATTAAATAGGGGGAGGGAGTTGAGGAAAGGAAAAAAAGACAACCAATCTGGAAGTGAGAAATATACCCCAGGAAAGTGTTTTAGTGTGGGGCCCTATAAATACACACAGCTGTTCCTTGTTCTACCTTCTGGATCTGGAAACAAAATCAGGGTCTTGTACATGCTAGGCAAGTGCTCTACCACTGAGCTAAATCCCAACTGCTTGGATTATCAGGCCCATGTTAGGTTTCATGGATCAAAATTTTCGGTACTCTGTAGTTAAGCAGTCTTGCCTGAGAACAATTCTTATCTTGCTCTTAAACACACACACACACACACACACACACACACACACACACACACACACACACACCATCTTAAACACACACACACACACACACACACACACACACACACACACACACACACACCACTCAGAGTGGAATTAACTTGTTTACAAATGAACTCATGGAACACAATTTATGCCAAAATTAGGAACTGCCTGCAAATAGCAATCTGGCATTTCCCACTCAAAACCAGCACTCATTAGAAATCAACAGTTTTCAGAGTAAAGTTCTGCTCACTTTCCTAACACCTGCTTTGCTCTCAGACAAAAATGTGACTAAAGTTTACTTGGATTGAAAGAAGAGCGTTTTACCATAAGCTAATAGGGTAGTTAAAAGTAATACTGAACATTGGTGCCAAGTTGATCTTTTAAGAGGAAAAAACTATCTCTTTGCCCCTTCTGCTACTTTCTAGCTTACAGAAAATCCTTCTTTCTGTGTTCTTACCTGAGAGACCAGGGCTATATATATATATGGTCTACATATACCTTGTGACAGAATCTGGATCTGCAGAGGTGTTTGAGAAACACCTAGGAGATTAGGTTAGTCTGTAATGGCATTTCTAGGAATAATTAGGTCATGACAGCTCTGACTTAATTAATGGATTGATGCCTTTGTGGATTTATAATATGATGGTATTGATGGAAGTTCATAGGACCTGGACACTGGTTGGAGTAGGTCACTGAAAGTGTGTCTTTCAAGGTTGTGTTTTGCCATGGCATCTTCCTGTATTCCTCTTTTCTGTTTCTTAGCTATCATAATGTAAACTCACCCCCACCTCCCTATGTGTGTGTCTGTATGTACACTTTTCCCATTTTAGTTCTGGATTACAGAAGAAAAAAAATGTGTTCAAGGAAAAGTATCTACTCCTACATAGCCCAGAAGAGTTCCAAATTTGGGTTTGGGTCCAAAGTCAAGTGGGGCAATGACTCTACTGGTTAGGTAACAGATTTGAGCCAGTGATGACTCCAGAAAGCAAGCAGTAGCTGTTAGCTTTGCTGTAATTAAAACTGTCTGAAGAGATATATACAATTCTGGTACCTGGACCATGCATCCAAAAAGTCTGATTCCATCAACCTTGGAATAGTCTGACTATTTAAGGTTTTAAAAGCTTTTTAGGTATTTTACATGCCTAACCAAAACCATTGGGGAAGAGAAAATGAGTTCTATTACACTGGAACCCTAGATGAAAACAGTATCAGCACACTCTTAGAACATTTACTTTAAGTTTCAGCATAGAAGGCTGGGTTTGAGTTTTTACAATACCACAAAATCAGTAGGTGACAATATTTGGGCTAGTGTTTACCCATGAACATAGTAAGGAAACTGATAGTCTATCTTCTTTTGAGCTTTGGCTATAAGGAAAGGCACTGCACAATAAAAATCAGAACTCTAAAACATCTCAACTATAGTCAACTACAACAATTCTTTTGACTGAAAACATTTTCCCTAAATAAATAGAGTTATAAACTTCTGGGTTTTTACCATTTGTTTGTGTCCAGACTGAGGTGATCAAGTTCACTGTGAAAAACTAAGGGCTTGATTCTTTTCCTTTGCTAGAAATAGTTGATATTAAGAACAAAACCACACATGAACTGTAGCTTTAGAAAAAGTGGGTAACCAAATTCAGAATATTAGAGGGATAGTGATTTTATTAAATCTGTAATATCCTGATACAGTTGCCCACATTTAGTAACTACTTTGTCTTGTATTTTCATAACATGGTATATTTTGATTTTGTAAAAATTAAATTATCTTTGCCCAAACAATACAATTCTTTATTTTAGAATCATGGTCGTTATCTTAGAAGTAGGGTCTATGGGCTAGATCTGAGATACACTGGGTCTCTGATGTGAAATTTAAGACTATGTGTGCTTCTAAAATTGTGAGTTCCAAACTAAGGGCCAGAGATCCTCTGGGACAATCCATGAATTTCAGGGTGGGGTCCATACATTTTCTGAAATTGTTATATTTTGCTATGAGCTAGTCTGTGGCTTTTTATCTGATTTTCAAGGAGTTCATAATAACAACCAGCTTCTGGGCTTCACCTCCTTAGAGGCTCCTTTAGTCCCTTTCCACAGTGCGGTACTGAGAACAAGACAGGCAGTGTCTGCTTTGTCCCTCACCTATGCTTCTCTGTACCAGTGTCACAGACGTGTCTGTGATGCTCTGTCAGCACAGTGTCTTAGCTGAAGTGGATTTGCTCTTAGATGGGGCCAGCCACGGCTATGACCTTTGTTACTTTTGCTGAAGCTCCTGGTACTATTCCAAGAAAAAGATCAGTTTCCATCGTTTTCAGTTCACAGAATTTGTACAGTGTTATAATCATAAAACAGAATGTGAGTTTGGTGTTGACCCACCCAAGCCCTCTTCTTGTATGTAATCAGATGCCATCTTTTTGAGGTGGACATTGCCAAAGGCTGCAACTACTAAAAAGATGTACCACATATAAAGATCACAGCCAACATGTAGAAATGTGCTGGATGTGAATGCTAAAGATTTTGTTAAGAAAAAAAATTAAATAGAAATTTTCTTTTACTTAAAAATTTATTCAACAAACAAACAAATAAAAATTCCAATTCCTTCTCTTCTAGATGACATTTAGCCTCATTATGGGCAGTGATGTGATTTTTGTTAAAACAACATTTTTATCTATCATTACACGCAATTACCTTCTTAGGATATTGGAATAGATCAGTTATGTAGCATAATTTCTTCTTGTCTGAGAAATGTGATATGTGATAATTTTGTTACTAAAATTAATTTTACAATGATGAGAACATAATAATTTTCAGAAGTGCTCAAGAATATGCTGACTGTTGTACATTTTCTCAAATAATCTGTACTATTTATTTAATCTTATGTATTTTAAAAGTTGTTATCAGCTAGATGGTGGTGGCACATGTCTTTAAAGCACTCAGGAGGAAGAGGCAGGCAGATCTCTAAGTCCAAGGCCAGCCTGGTCTACAGAGTGAGTTCCAGGACAGCCAGGGATACATGTTAGCATGCTGCCTTCCCTAGTCCTGATGCTGTTTTCTTGGAGGCTTCTGTACTGGACCTCTGTGTGAAACAAGGCACATGTCAACTAGGCTTTAGATTGGATCAAACCCTGAATAATACTTTCCAAACAGTTCTATTGTCATTCTTTCATTCTGAAGTAGAACCACTAAGGGCATGGTTGAAAACAAACATGAAGTAGGAAGTTGGGGTCTGGACCAGTCCTACTTCCCCATTCTGTGAACAGAATGAGTAGGGAGCAGTACATCCGTCAGGTAGTGACTATCATGCTAAAGTCTCTGACAACCTCTGTCAATGAGATTCCTGATGCGAAAGTCCTCAGGAAACCTGAGACCTGGTCTTGCTAATGATAGCCACACAGAGCCGTGAGGCTCAGCTGGTCATCACTGGGTGAGGAAGGGTCAGGGTCACTATAGATCTGAGTCAGGGCCAAACTCAGGATTTCTTTCTTTTCTTTGTAAAACCGTAGTTCTTGTCCTGCCTTCCTTGCTTCCTCCAGCTGCCCCAGGGCTGCACGTAACTCTTGAGAGAGAATTCCTGGTGACTCACGCTCCTTCATGATCCAGTCCAGGGCCATGTGGCTGCGCATCTTTTCGTCTAAAGAATATTGGGAATAATAGGAGATAACTTCCTAGAATCAAGAAACAGAGTTCAGAGTGTCAATAAACAGAAACAAAGGCACATGTGTGCAAGGCCTGTCATACTTTCCCAGTCATGTGGCCTTCAAACAACTCTAGCTTTCAAAATCTAAAACCAAATCCAATTAACATACTTCTGAAAAGTAAATGATGGACTAATCTAGTCCTGCAAAACCTGTCTTTTCAGGCTAAATCAAAACATAGCACTAGGAATGACAATAATGTTCATGAAAATCTATTTCTGTAAAATGTATAAAGATGTCTTCATTTATTCACTGGACCCTTGGGCCAGTACCATTGCCTTTGACAAGACAGAAAGAGGAAAGGAGCCATACAGACAAGTTGAGGTAGAATGAGGTTTGGACATTCCTATTACAGGAAAGAGGAAGCATTCAGTCAAGGAAGCTTTAGAACAAGACTTTGAAATCCACAACTCTACTTCCTAGCTGGTGTGCTTTGTTGTTGGAACAGAGTCCATGGATAGAGTCATGTGAGGAGAATTTTGAGTGCTTGTGAGAGAACTTCAAGAACACAAACCAAGAGTATTGTGACCTCAGTTTCTTCAAAAACACAAAATTGTTCTTGGAATGTGTTTTCATGCTCCTCTAGGTGTAGTGGTTAGGAGTGAGTTTACTTCAGATTATTCATTACAACTGGCTATTGCCTCTATGGAAAAAATATTTTTTGCCACGTGCAGCTTGTTCACTACATGCACCTTGCCCTTGTGATTGTACACTTTATTCATGTGACTCCTCAACCCTCAGAGTACAAATTGGCTGATGCTCCAAATAAAGTGGACTATTGCATGAGACTTTATTATACCTCATTTTTGGCTCCATTCTCTCTGGTCCCACTGCCTTTAGAGCAGTAAACACTTTGTTAGCTTAAGGAAGACAAATGTCCAAATGGCTCACAATAAGCACAGAAAGAACTTCAAAAATGTATTGTAGAATGGAGGCATTATCATTATTAGTACTACAATGATACTTTTGTGTAACATTATTTTTTACTTTTGCAAACAATTAAAAATTAACTTCTCCTTTTATTTCTTCTGTAAAAAAATATCAATCCATCATGCTGTCATATATATGTTTGATCATGGGGAATGGATGCATTGCTTATTTTTATTTTCAGGAACATGTGGTATTTATTTATGACCTTAACAAATTAAAAACAATCATGGAAAAGTGTTTATAACTAACCCAACATATTTCAAAGGACTTTCATAAAATCAAAGGAAAGGAAAAAAATAGCAAAGCCATTGTCAGCTACTCATTTCTTTTCTATTTTTGACATTTTGAAAGCCAGACTTTCTAAGCAAAGATCAACTAGAAATTACTGGGTCTGCAGTGTCTCCCTCCACCCTCATCTTGCCTACTATAGAGTCTTAGCTCTTCATACAAATTCTTAGTAGGAAATTCTCAAAAATAAACTATTGTCCTTCAAATTCTAACAATGGGTAAAGAAAGGATAAATCTCAGAGGGCAACAGGAAAAAAGCATTAAACACACAGGACAGAGTTTATGCTTGGTATTAAAAGGAGGAGGGATTCCTGTTGTAAGTAATGAAGGAATACTGAGACCTTGCCTCTGGAAAACAAAGAAGAAATTTCTAAACCAAAAAAAAAAAAAAATTAAGGTGACTAAATGTCAGTGTGTCCAACTTCATGATCCTTTTTGCTGTTTTTGAAGAACTTTTGTGGTAACAATTCCTCCTGTTTTTAGTGAGGAGGTTTTGGAAGCAGTGGATTCTCTTTCTTTTTATACTGGAGAGTGCAAAAGGGGACAGAGCTGAGGTAGGTAGGGTGGATACAAAAGGTAAGTTCAGCACTTCACTTAGAATCCAACACTATCTATGGTTGCTTCATTCTGCATTCAGTATTATGGGTGTTCTGATCAATCCTATGTAGAGCCAACATTCTTAGTGTGTGGCAGTCCCTGACTCAATATTTCTTCACTTGTCCCTGCTCTTACTTAATAGGTAAATATAAATTTAAAACAAAGAAATGTATAAATGAAGGAAGTTTCAGTCGATATGGTCACACAAACAGAAGCATCTGAATAAAGGAAGCCTCTTCAACATTTGGTAAGTTCCTGAACTTGTCCTCAGAACACTAACCTGTTTCAACCAGAAAGTCTCACCTGTCGAGAGCACTTTGTTTCACGGAGGGCTTTCAGGCTTCCATTCCAATGCAATAGTTGGAAAATGGTCATCAGTTCCTACAAAATTCAAACATCTGTCATTGATCTTAAAGCAGAAGTGTATGTCAGTAAGAGTTGAGCAGACATGTCTGACCCCAAAGAAATAAAGGGAACAAGATATATGGTATTGTCAGAAACTTTGGGAGTTTCCAAAGAACAGAGCACCAAGGCCCCGAAGAAGTGCATCCATTCTCCTGCTTTTTCCTACTTTAAATATGAAATTACTAAATGACAAGTGTCTTTCAACACTAAAAATACACCCGTTAAAATAATTGTACACCCAATAGTTACTTTTAGAAACATAGGAGAAATAGCTTACAAACAATGTTATACATACATTGTATCATTTTTAATTACCAGAGACTGGAAACATTTTAAATGTTCATATTTAGAGAACAATTAAAGTATGATATATTCATATTACTGAACACTGCATACTTAGAGGGTGTTAACACCCTCTAAGTTATAATACAAAGAAATCCATAGTGTATTGTTAAAATAAGAGAAAAGCACACAATGGTGTGTCCTTTGTGTTTTATTTTAAAAGAATAGAAGATTCCTATATACATATTTGCTTGTAAATGCCTAGAAGAGTTCTTACAAGATGCAAAAGAACCTGGTAATAGAGTCTGAGGGTCTCACTTGATGGTAGAGCAAGTACTTAGCATGCAGGACCCAACTTTGGATCTCCATTGCCAAAAGCAAAAAACAAAATTGATCTGGTAATATGTCTGACTTGAGAGAAAGGAGTGGGTTTCCAGAATTCTGGAGAAAAGGTTTAGGGTTTTAAATCATGTGACTAGGTGACATTAAAGAAAACAACTGAAAATTTAAGAATTTAAACTGAAAAATAAATGTCTATATTACTGAGTAAAATTTACAGGAGTCCATTTGCTTTGGACCAAGCTCATTCCAATACATGACTCAAAATGGACCAAACCAAAATAGACTCTCTCATGCTAAAGTTCCATATCACCACGCTGAAATAGATTATTTACCTGACTTTTTCAGGACACAGGAAAAAGAGGGGGATGGAAGGAGGGAGGAAGGGAGAGAGAGGGGGAAGGGAGAAAGGTGGGGAGAGAGAGAAAGACAGACAGAGACAGAGACACAGAGAGAGAGAGATAGACAGAGAGAGGGGGAGGATATTTTAACTAGCAAAAAAAGAGAGGTAAGTCTCTCTCTGTTTTAAGAATGTCTTAAAATATGAACAGTGTGGTTGTATTCACCTTAAAATAAACAAAGAGTTCCACATTCTGTGTCTTTAGCCCTGAGTGAGCACAATTTGTCAGCTCTATTCCCATTTTCCTGTGTGAGCTAGGACCAGCAAGCTGAACATTTCCATTTTCCCGATGTGGTCACAGCTAGCAGTTTTCCACTGAAATTATCTGTGTTTCACCTATTCAGGGATTTTGTTTTTGTTCTTGTTTTTTTTTTAAAGCTAGATGTCAATTATGAATCAATATCATAAACCACAACCATATAATCATTGGAAAATAACTCCATATAATTAAGGAACTTTCTGTGTATGAAAATAGTTATGAAAACTTAGCATCTAGACAGATGTGCTATTGACTATAACAACAGTCTTTTATTGACTGTTTTAACTTCTGTTTTCTCAAGAACATGTTTTTCTTCTGAAAGTCGTGAGACATGTAGTCTTAGGTTGCAGGCATGTTAAAATTATCTGGTGGGTTTTAAAACTGTAGGGTTATCAGAGGATTGAGCAGCACGAGTCTCAGCTCTGAAGCTTCTATTATGAGTCAGTGCTGCTGCTTTTCATCCCAAGATCCAGTCTGGCATATTGTCTGTACTCCACCATAAGAGGAGTACCTCAGGAGACAGTGAGCGAGCAGTAAAAGCAAAACCATGTTTCCATCAATTAAAATCAACACAAATATTAAACAAGTTGCTTCTTCCACACCAAACAAAGACCCCACTGTCCAGCATCCCAAATCAAATGCCCAGAGACTTGCCCTTTCATAGCCGCTCTTCTCCCTGGCCCTATGCAGTTTCACTCCAGCATATCACTACACTAATATGAAAACTGGGAGCATTTTAACAGACTAAATCTCACCTAATAGGGCTCTCATCACTGTGCCTGTCAATCCATTCATCAAAGTATTCCCAGTTGCTCAGGAGGGTAAATTTCTGCTACCTTCCCAATGCTCCCTTCAAACCCACTCATGCAATACTTTGTAGCCACAAAAATAAATATGAATTCTCTATGCCATGATAAAGAACAGGATCCATGTTGTAATAAAAGGCCAATATTTGATGTTTCTTTGATTTCATATAAAAAATCTACTTGAATTTTGCACTCATTTTATATATATATATATGTAATATTGCATATTATATTGTTTGTGTGTCATATATATGTGTTCATGTGTGTGTATATACATGAGTATGAATGAGTGTAGGGGCCAGAGGTTGACAGTGGCTGTCCTCAATTGCTCACCACCACATTTTTTGAGACAAGGTCTCACTGAACTTGGAGCTTACTGATTTGGCTAGACTGTCCAGCAAGCTCTAGTTATCTTCCTGGTGCTGCGATTACAACTTTGAGCTACCATGCCTAGTTTCTTCTGTCGATGCTGAGGGTAGAATTTAAGTTCTCTTGTCTGTGTGCAAGCATATTAGCCTGAGCTATCTCTCCAGCCCTAGACTATTTTTTTAATGAAGAAAAAAAAATCACCCTGTTTCTTCAGTTGACCCCTCACAACCTCAAATCTGCAGGTGGTTTTAAATTTAATTTTCTTTCAATTCTGGAAATCAAACTCAAGACCTTGCACATACTTGGCAAGCCTCCTACAAGTGATTCATACTCACAGTCCCTGTGTAAATTTGGCAACCAAAACAGACAAGCTGGACCTGTGTTGCAGCTTCTAGTAGCCATCCTAGCATTGCCCTGAAGTGATTCTGTCTGAGAAACAACTTGTTCATACAGCTCTTGACTGAATCCCTGACAGCTTCTGTGTGTACTCTTCTTTCCTCGGGATCTTCCAGAACCACATTCTCATCTATGACCCATGGCTGCCTCTTGTAGATGCACTGCTGTCATTCCGCCTGGCAAATCACCCAGAACTTTAGAATCCACAGTTATGCTGTGAACAGAGTCAGAAATCCTTCTCATGCCCCTTGGCGACCTTCATCTCTCAGAGGTTTCCTGAAAAGGCTTGAACTGTTCTTGCCTCTGGGAGGAAGGTCGTTTACTTCCTGACTGCTCTAGTTTGTCTGAAAGTACTTCCTCCTCAGTGTGACTCTGGTTCTTACATTTCTGTCTTATCCTTGCACATGCTACCCTGAACTAGACTTTGCCCTGCTGTGTAGAAACACTTGTCATCATTGTATAAGGTACACCTAATTATACATACTTCCTGTCCCACTTCTTTATTCCCCTTCATGAGACCAAATTCTTTTAGTTGTTATTGTTTTGATTGTTTCGAGACAGGGTCTCACTATATAGCTCTGGCTGTCCTGGAACTCACTACGTAGACCAGTCTGGCCTCAAAACTCAGAGACCTGCCTGCCTCTGCCTCCAAGTGCTGGGATTAAAGGAGAGTCTCTGTGAGTTGGTGCCTCTGCACCCTGTCAGACTCAAGGGAAATCCATGCAATGCTGCAGAGGATGTCTGTAAGGAATTGTTTTCTGGTTTCTCCGTGATTCCTGTTGCCTGGTTTTTATCCTGGCTTTGTGCCTGATCAATCCCTGACTTGTACAGAAACTTGCAGTCACTCTATGGTGGCCTGTTCTGCCATCAGATGTTGTGGAGTTTGTTAGAAAGGCTAATCTTGAAGTCTGGGGAGAATGAAAAGAAAGTGAGAAGCTAGCTTGTTAGGGTGAGGTATATGAGGCAAGATTTAAACTGATTCTTGAGTATTCTGGACCTTTAAAAAATTGGTGTTTTGTACCAGGCAGTTAGCACACATGTTCAACTTCAGTACAAGGGAGGCAGCAATAGGTAGATCTCTGTGGGTTCAAGGCAAGCCTGGACTACCTATTGAAACCTACTTTAAAAAAAACTTTTTTTTTTAAATTTTGATTATTAGGAGGGATTTTTGAACTTATTTTGAGCTTTAAAAAAACTGTAGTATAATATTATATATTTTAATCACTGAGCTTTTAAAAGCAACTTCCATTTTTGTACCAAGACAGATGCATTACTTTCCTCTCTTTGTCTGGGACCCTCTGGATCTGTACTGGCATCAAGCCTGGCTTCTTACTTGTGAGGTCTATGCAGCCCTGGAGGCGCTGCCCTTGGTTTGATACTCAGCTTAATAGTTTTTGAGCAAAGGCCTTTGCATTTTTATTTTGCACTGGGCCCCACAAATTATATAACCGGTCTTGATCATCAAAGTAAATTGTAAACTGAATGGTGAATAAAGTCTGTGTTTTCTTTGCTCTGTGGGGAAAATTGCAGTTGCTGCTCTCCATCCGCAGTCCACAGCTCCCTGTTTTTACTTTGTCATTCAATTCCTTTAATCCTGCAACAACTGGGCTCTGTCCTGGAAACTGCCTGCCTGGTTTCACCTATTAGAGACAATGGCTTCTCAGCTACTTTGAGCAGGAGAAAAGGCTCACTGCCTCTTTCTGGAACTTTGGGAGACTGGCTTGGCTCTGTGATTCATCAGAAATAAGAAAAACAAACACTGTAAATGGAGAACTTGGAAAACAGGTGGGCACCATCTCCCCACCCAAGAGAATGAGTTTAAGAGGAAATTTGTTTATGGGATGGGGCTTTAAAAGGGGACCTGGGGAATTTAGCACAGATGTAAATAAACAACTCTTCCTTGGGTTGCATTAGTCTTCAGAATAAATATATTAACCAGCTTCAGTCAAATTCTGCCTAGAATCTGACCTTGACAAGACCCAGCGCCCGCTGGGTTGCCATTCTTGTCCCTCCCCCTAACAGCAAGCAGTTTCTCTCTGGTCAGCCTACCTCAAAACAGGCAGCCCCTGCTCTCCCAAGAAGTGAAGGTAAGCAGAAGCCTATTAAGACCCGCTGAAAACCCAAGGGCAGTCAGGAGACACTAGTCTTGTTTTTTTTACACTGTAGTCATCCATTCCTAGATCCAAACGCTCTTCTGTGACACCCCCCAGGAGGGGGAGAAGCACTGAATTGTGCCTCTGCAGAAATAGCCCAAGTCTGTATTCACTTACCTTTATGTGTAGACACAAGCTGATACATCTGCTCAGACACCATGAAACTTGCTGGGCCCCAGCGGGCAGGCGGAAGGAAAAACTCCCTGGGTCCTTCCTCCTGACCCGAGGGTTTTCCCTGCCTTCTATCTTTTCCTTTGTTCCTATCCTAACCTCAGCCTTCTTTGTGAAGCATTTCCAGAATGTGATTTAAGTGATCATTATTTAAATACCTACTAAAGACCACACAGGAAGCAGACCAACAAGGCAAGGGGTAAAGTTGATACTGAGGGCAGGTTGAGTAGAGCCTTTTGTAGTACTTGGAAGGAGGTTTTTGTTTTTTTAAATTCTTACGTCACCAGCTTTGGTAGATTAAGCCAACCATGTTCAAAATCATTTTTTTTTTAAATAGCTACTAAATCACGTACAACTTCTTGGTCCAGGGGTGGCAGTGGGAGAGTGGCCCCTACACTTGGATTGGGCAGCACAGTAGAGCTGGTGGGAGAGCTGACCGGATCCCTTGCTAATAGCTACAAGGGATGAACTAGCCAGGGCAAAGCTGGAGAGCTCACCCTGGTGATGAAGACAGGGGAGAGCTGGCGGGCTGATCAACTGTGCAACTACCCAGGCCCAGAACCAGGGTTAAGTGTTGGCCCACCCCAACATCCCTCCCATCTGTGTCGGCTAGAGCTGGGGTGGGGAAATGGGGGTGGAGAAGGGTGTCCTGTGAGCCCAGGGCTACAAGACCTTCACAGCACAGAGCAGCAACGAGATGTTCAGGAAGAGTCCCAGGGAGGGCCCAGTATGGATAGTGTAGCAGAGACCAGGGGCCTCGAGCCAAATCAATGATTCTATGCTATGAACGCACATAAAGATGTATGGATAAAGGGGTTTACCGCATGACCTACTGTGTCACACTGCAGCTTCCATGACAAGATTTTCCCTTTCTTCCTCTGTCCCCTTTTTCTCTTAAAATTTATTTTGTTTTATTGGGGGTGTGTATGCAGGGGCAGAGGGCAGATGCGAGGATACGGGAGATGTGTGGGATCGAGATGCATGATGTGAAAGGCACAAAGAATAAATAAAAAAGAAAGTTAAAAAATATTCCTTAAAGAAGAAAGCTAAATGACTTTCCCCCTTATGAGAAGAGCTGTTCTGGATTATTTATAAATGTCCAGGTCTTTGGCTCTATAAAATGACACTGTTCTTTTTATTTTGCAGACAATAGAAATGAGTTTTGGAATGGGCAAGCTCACAGATGTAAAGAGATAGGCACCCACACATAGGTCTGTATAGTTTTAAATACATGTCTTTTCTCTTCTGCCATTCTTTTCCCTGTTATTTTCTCCAATGCTTGGGGTTAGATTGTGTGTGTGTGTCGGGGGGGGGGGGGGGTAATAGATCCCTTTATAGTTTCCCCCTTTTATTATAAGGCAGGGGACCATGAAGCGTTTTGGCAGGGAGCTACATAACCTCTTGTGAAGCTTATGATTACCTAAAGGTGTCAAGGGGGAATCTGTCCATCAAGCAGCCTCTGATGTTCCAAGTAACACAATCCTTCAGAGTCATGCTTTCATAGAGTGTTTACCATGTGCCAAACTGTGCTAGACTCTTCTCATCCTGTCCTTTTCACCTTCACACTGGACTACACAAGTGAAGAAACAGATTTAGAAGTAAGGAACAGAGTAAGGCTAAAATCAGCTAGTCTATTCTGTACATCCTCATCCACTACAGAGAAAAGTTGGCAGCTTTAGGCACCAGCTGCAACACAAAGATTAAGTTTTACCACGACAAACATTTTTGTTCATAAAATTTTGTAAGTCTGATTACTTTCTGAAGTCAAACATAAGAAAATAGAAGTACTAGGAGTAAATTCCATATTAATTTTTGCTGGTATTCTATGTCATTGGATATTTTACTTCCTTCAAGCTTAGCTGTTTAGAGGGACACACATTGCCTGCCAAATTACTACTGAATTTTCATCCACCGGGGCCAGTTTATGAGAAGAATTAGATGTATGAGAAAAGGAAAGAGATTGTCTTGCATGGGTCTGAAGCCAAGAGCTCAGCCATTTGCTAAGTGAAGATAATCTTCCTTGGATAACATGTGGATAATAACAACTACTTCATATGACTGTTATAGGGGTTAAATTATAGTAATAATTGTCAAATACTCAATATTATGGCAAAGAAATTATCAAACAAGAATCAGATACTAATATCGTTGTTATTAATGTTATTTTTACACTTTATAAATACAGATAGAATAAGCCAATTTTAATTAGAAAACATCTGTAAGTCAAAAATGTATATATTGCAGTTAGCCCAGTGAACCACACAGCTTAGCAGAGTGTGCCTTCAACATGCCCAAAACACTTACAGTTGGCTTGCAGTTAGGCAAAAGTTTATAATATAGTATTAAATATCTTCTGTGATTTATTGAGCAATATACTGAAGAGATGAAACAGTGTTGTTTTCATGCCTACATAAAAGTGGGAAATCATAAACTGAGGATTGTGTGTGATAAGTAACAGAGTTCCTTAGCTGTTACTGCTTGTCAGATGTAGATGACATGTTGCTAATGTTAGTTTCCCTGATAGGAGGGAGAGGCACGTCTTGTTTAATAGAAATATCAGACCTGAGTAATACTTTTGAGTGTACCCCCATGGAAACCCTTATCTGACTTCTGTAATAAAGGAAGAGATAGTCACAGCAAAATGTTTAACCATTTGATTTTGTTTAAAGGGAATCTTAGTCCTAAACAGCTGTTGAAGTGTTACTGGGTTGTAAAACGGGCATTACTCACCTGTTTCTAAGAGATGTAAAGTGACAGACACCATATGTAAGTCTGTATGGTTTTATTTTTATTTTTTTATTTTTTTAGTTTTTTGGTTTTTTTCAAGACAGGGTTTCTCTGTGTAGCTTTGCGCCTTTCCTGGAACTCACTTTGGAGACCAGGCTGGCCTTGAACTCACAGAGACTGCTTGGCTCTGCCTCCTGATTGCTGGGATTAAAGGCGTGCACCACCACCGCCCAGCAGTCTGTATGGTTTTAAATGAACACGTCTCCTGTCTTGTGCCATCCCCTTTCCCCTGTTATTTTCTTCTGTTTGAGGATAGTTTTGTTTGGAAAAAAATATAGACTCTTTATAGTTCTCCTTTGTTGTTGTAAGACAGAGGCCCTGAAGTTTTTGGGCAGGGAACTTCTTGAGAGCAGAATGTGCCATGATTTCTCTTTGATTTGGGTTAGTGAATGTGGCTAAAATGCAGGTACCAGGCTGAATTCTAAATGGGTGAATTTTTTAAAAAACAGATAGTTGGAATAGAAGATACTAGTGCTAATGATAAGAGTTACATGTCTTGGGTCTGGAGAGATGCCTCAGTAGCTAAGTCTAATTCCAGCTCCAGGGAGATCTGACACTCTGCCCTCCACAGGCACCTGAACTCATGTGCAAACACACACACACACACACACACACACACACACACACACACACACACACACTATTAAAAATAAATAAAATAAAAAGTTGCACATCTCCCAGGCTTCTGGATTACATTATCAAATAAATAACTGGCGGGGAGTTAGGCACCTGAAACTCCAGCATAGTCTTCCCCATGTTTGATTCCAACATGTAGTGATAGGCTCCGACACTTGTGCTGGGATCATCCGCATCATCTAAAGTGCCCTTGGGAAGAGAAGCAAACAAAGAAAATCTCATTGGTAATTCCTTCCCTACTTTGAATGAATAGGACCTAATCCTATTATTAGTCTAAATGTATTGATATCTAGTTGCTCTTGGATAAGATACTTAACCTCACCATGACTCAAATAAAGGGTGTTTTATAATCAGCTTGAATGTAGCTTTTGCTTAAAATGCTAGCAGATTGTATAACTGCTGATAGAGTAATAATCCCAAAACAAGAATTCCTTTTTTTTTTTTTTAAAAAAAAGGATTTCTTGTCAGTGATGCATTAATGCTTATGTGGCTGCTTTCCATGGCCGTCACTGTGGCTTACTGAAATCTTACAGCATTGACCTTATCCTGATTTCAGGCAAAACTGTATAATGCAAATGAAATAACTGAGCAGCCATGTGGCTCATTCCTTTTTTCTGTTTGACTCTTAAAGGGAAGTTTTCATAATAAGCTGCTGCTGACAACACGGGTATTGATTATATATATATATATATATATATATATATATATATATATATATATTTACTCTCAGACCACTTAATACTTAAGAAACAAGGTGGGTAAAAGGTAGAAATGAGATTCTTTTTCAGCTTGGTGGTGAGGAATGACACTAAGCTCTGGAACAGCATTCAGGCTTCCTTCAGTATCCCATGGCCTTGGATTCCCATGATGGTGGGCAATAGCAACGTTGTGAGACTGAACAAACAACTGTCAGCATCAGGCAGCAGGAAATGAATAGCTTTGAATGCAATAACATTAACACACTGCTCCTGAAATATTTACGTTGGCCTTTTAAATATCCTAGGGGAAATCCACCCAGAAGCCTGCAAACCATATATATTCTCTCTCTTTAGAAATTTCCACACACAAAAAATGACAAATTACATTTACATTGAGGGCCCTTTCCTGCCCCTAAGTAAATTCCACATGTATATAAATCAGGCATCATTTTCCTGACTTCTCTTCCTCAAAGGCACTTGTAATTTACAGGACCAGAAAAGAAAGACTTCCTTTTATCTTCAGATGAGATAGAGTGCAGAACTCTCCACTTTCTCCTAGCCAGGCTACTGGTTCTACTATCCTGCTGCCCCATCTCTTGTCCAAGTGATAAGAGCATTTATAAGGAGAAAGGGTCCCTAACAGTCTGATCATCTCCTTTATGAGCAACTGCCCTGGAAAGACAGTGCCTGTCAGTTTAGCTCAGGAGGGAAAAAAGAGAGAGGGTGCTGACACAATGACCTTTAATCCCAGAACTCACTTGGGAGGCAGAGGCGGGCAGATTTCTGTAAGTCTGAGGCCAGCCTGGTCTACATAGTGAGTTGCAGGACAGCCAGGTCTTCATAGTAAGAGCCTGTCTAAGAAAGGGGGTTTGGGAGGAAACAGAAGAAAATGGAAGAGTTTGCCCTTCTGTGATTCAAACTCCTGCCCTTAAGCACACACAGAAAACACCTGCTATAGGTGAGGTCCAGATTTCCTCTGTAGCTTACAGTTGGAGATACTGGACAGGAATTCTCAACCATTTATTGGACAAGTAAATATCTAGTCCTGGATTGTGGAGAAATTTCCCTATTTACCTTTTTAAGACACATTTTGTTATTTTCATTTTTCTCTCAAAGCATTTCATTGTATCTGTCATAGAAAGTTTCAGAGCTTACCAGATGTAAACTGGTAGGAGCCATGATTATTCTAACACAGAGAGCTGTCCACGCAGCTCATAGCTTCTTACACTGGGAACTGCAAGGCTGCACACTGCCTGGGGAATTATTATTTACAGTAAGGATTTCAAATATTTAGCATAATTAGTTAAGTTTGTGGAAAATTAAAGCTAGTTTATCACTATATAATCAATCATTCTTCAACTGCATACATTCTTGGACTCTAAAAAAATATCTGTACTCCTCAAAAAGCAAACATTGAAATCAGTGTGATCATGTGATCTTCCTCAGTGTGAAATCTAATCAGTTTTGATCTTGGTATATCAAGAGTATAAGCAAGATACACAATGGGGAGCCAGTCCCACCTTCATGATTTCTAACCTAAGGATCCATATTGCTAAACATTAATGGGTAGATGGGTAAAAATTTAACCTGAATATTGTTGAAATGGGAAATTTGCTTACTTTAATATTTCCCAAGATTCAAATGTCCTCATGTTCTCACAGAGGTCACCTCTTGCCTCCCTTTGGTACTCACACTGGTGGAGGCTACTGCTTCCTGAACACTCTCCATGATGAACTCTTTGGTGATCCTTCGGGAGGGCAGCTCGTTGAAGAGAGAGTTGATGAGCGCCACTTTAGCTGCATCCCGCCTGGCCTCTGCTCTACTTAAGCAGCACTTGAGAAGAAAGGAGAGAGACAGTTATTAAAGAAGTCGCATCTTCCATTCCAACACTGCAGCAGTGGACCTCGGTGCATTTCTACTTATACATTTACATGGGTTCTGGATTCAGACTGTCAGTATTCATCTCTTAGTATGTAAGCCTTTGAACAAGTTAATTATTCTCTCTGTGCCTCGATGTCCTTTTTTAGTGAAATAATAGTAGGCTTGAAGTTGAAATTGATTAATTGATATGAAGAAAGCACCAAGAATGGTCATGGTACATGATACATCATCATGCTCCATTGAAAGCATATCATTCACATATATTTTACCATTATGATAGTTGTTAGAACATATAAGTTAGTGCAAGGACACTACTGTCAGTATATAATGCTTTTAACTTTCCAGCATTTGTTCCCTACCTTTCTTCTAGAAATAGTTCCCTGATTTCCTTGAGGATTGCCCTTTATACTTTGCTTATGTAGTCTGGATAGGAATCAAACCCATTTGGTTTTCCCAAAGTTAGGTGCCACAGACTGCCTATGCTCAGTAACTTATTAAATACATTTTTTTCAAGCTTGGCATGGTGACAACACCCTATAATCCCAGTACTTTAAAGACTGAAGCTATGATAATTTTGAGGCTACCCTAGGCTAGAGAGGGACTGTGGGGCTTTAGCTCAGTTGTAGAGTACTTGCTTAGTATGCACTAGGCCTGGGCTTGAATCCCAATACTTTAAAATATTTTTTCCAATGCTCCCAATGTAATGTTAGTCTCCATCCTCCAAGCCTGCTTCCCTCATTGTTCACATGGGCCTGCCTGAGTATCTGGCTTCCATTCTGTTCACTCTGTCTCTTTTCCTAATACTTAAAAGTTCCCATTCTTTGAGTTCTACTTTGGTGTGGAGTTTGGGGGTCCAGAGAGAGGTAGAAGTCCTATAAGAGCTAGAATGAAATCATACCTTTAGAGCATTTAAGACATGATGACTGCTCTCCAAGAGACTCCTATGAACATGGAGCTATAGACACTAAGGTTCCCAGTGGGAAACTAGTCTTGTGAAAAGAAGTCCAGGTCCAAGGCAAGTCAGTGGAGGTAGCCAGGCAGCCCAGGCTTGTAAGATCTAGTCCACCTGAGCTTTGGGGGCTGTTTTCTGATGCACAGCTCCTACTACCTAAAATGTGAGGCTTTCAGAAACATGATGATGCATAGTGTGAAAGGATAGGGAAAGTATCGAGGATCACACTTCATTTTTCAGTTTCACAGCCTCAAAGGTTCTTTTCCCCCAACAGGAAAAACCCAAATCCTATTGTATGATATTTTGTTTGTGTTCTGACAAATAAGGCTTGCCTGGAGACCAGAGGGCAGAGCTAGCCACTAGTTAACTACAGAGGCCACTTGTGGTGGCATACACCTTTAATCCCAGGACTTGGGAGGAGGAAGCAGGAAGATCAGGAGTTCAAGGAGATCCTGGACTACATGAGATTGAGTCTAAAAGAGAAACAGAGCTGTGCAGTGGTGGTGTACATCTTTAATCCCAGCACATGGAGGCTCAAACCTTTGATCCCAGCACATGGGAAGCTCAAGCGTTTGATTCCAGCACATGGGAGGAGGAGACAGGAATATAAGGAGTATAGAGACAGAATCTCAACCCAATCAGCTTGAGGATTCATAGAGACAGGATCCCTCCCATTTGTAGAGGTGAGAAGTGACTGTGGCTGCTGCTCTGCTTCTCTGATCTTCCAGTGTTCACCCTCAATATCTGACTCTGGGTATTTATTGATAAGACTAATTAGGATTGTATTCAAAATCCTTCTTGTGTACTTTTCGCAGCACTCTTTACCCTACACTGACATTTCTGCCCTGTCTCCAGGCACGCACAACCTTGTATCATTTAGAGCCCAGTTTCTCCTCCCCAGGTCCACAAACCCAGTTTGAATCCCTGAGATCAGGTTCCATGTCTCCAAACTTTACAAATAGCAGGAATGCTCTAGTGTAACAATCATGTAGGTAATCACTTCTTTTGACCACCACCCCCCCCCAAACTTTTGTGCTTGGAATTTTTGTATGCTTTAACAGTCTTCACAATGTCCAAACCAGGATCAGTGCTTGTGTACCATCAGGGCATGGAAAAGGTAGTAATTACAAGGACTTTTAAAACAATGGGCAAGGTGTGTGTGTGTGTGTGTGTGTGTGTGTGTGTGTGTGTGTGTGTGTGTAAGACAGAGACAGAGACAGAGAGACAGAGGGAGAGGGAGAGGCAGAAGAAGTTTAATGCTTGGACTCCAGCTTATGGAAGGTGGTGGAACTTTTAGGAAACGGGGCCTCTGGGAGAGAAAGTTAAATCATTAGAGATGTGCCCCAGAAGAAAACACTGGGACCTCAACACCTCTTCCCTCTCTCTTTGTCTCCTGTTTGGCAAGAGAAAAACAGCTTTGCTCAACCATGCATGCTCTCTGCCATAATGCTCTGATTCACAACAGGCCCCAAAGCAGAAGAGCCAATTGACTATGGACTTTTTAAGACCATAAGAAAAATGAACTTTTATTCTCTCAGATGTTTGGTATAGTGAGGGTAAATGACAAACACACCTTTAAATAAATAGAGTTGAAGTTCTAAAATGTGTGTAGAAAAACAGTGGATGTGGGGTAGCTGGGTCTCTTTAGTGTTGGATGACAAGCAAAAGGGCTTTTGGTATAGCTTTAGGTAGGAAGCCTTTCAAACTTTAGACGTCTTCTAAGGTTTAGGCTATCTGTGTTAAGTCAGAGAGTTTCTACATACAGTTTTATTTTGTGCGGTACACTTGGCCAGAAATACACGGGGCCATGAGGTCTGAGTCAATTGACCTTTAGTAATGCTTAGATGCTGCCTCTTCTAGGAAGCTTTGCCTACCACTCTCAAGCCAGGATGAAGGCACTGACCATACCTGAATGTAATTGTTTGCTGATCTTTGCCTGCTGTCTCCTACCTGCATGCCCTGTTACATAATTTTCTTTGTGCTCCTACCCTATTACATAATTTTGATGCAGTTTTCTTTGCATCTCTGCCTATTACAATTTACTGAATGACTAATGGGCGGCTGAAACATAGGAAACTCAGTAGCAATTCAATAAAACACCTGAAAAATGTGCAAGAAATTCTTTCAAGAATAAATGTATATATACTTCTTTTTCTTAAAAAGTACTATTCCTATATATTTTATATGGTATTTTAATTCAGCAATATGAAAATATATTAAGCCTGAAGTAATTATTCATAAGGATAACTGGCTTCAGACTCTGATATGAGCATTTTTGCCAATGTGTAGAATATATTTGTTATTCTTTGAAAAGAATAAACTCCCATTAGAAAGAAAGGCTTTGAAATAAAGCAAACAAAACAATTCTAAAAAAAAAAGAAATAAAGAAAGGTTTTTGCCAATATTACATAACATCTATAACAGTAGCTCTCGTCTTAATAGCAGTTTGGCTTTACAAAATCTACAACAGAGCTTTGGGATTTCAGAATTTAGGGAATAAGATTCAGGTCAGAGCAGTCTTAAACTCTTAAAAAAAATCTGCCTGTCTAAATAACAGCAATTTAAGCCAACTTTCAGGGAGAGGGGGAGAGTGAGACAGAGTAAACACTGCACAGTCCAAAGAAGCTATCTACTTAAATAAGAGCAGCTAAGTACTAGATCAAAGGCAGCATGTACATTTACAGCCGTATGGCACTGCCTCACAGATCAAAGGATACCTAGGCAGGCAACAGACAGGGCCTTTACCAGAGAAGCATGGAAAAGGAAGGTGGGAAACTCAGCTAATCTCAAGATGTGAGAACAGACACCTGTCTTTACTTATTTTATTGTTTCAGAGTACTTGATTTTTTTTTCTTCTTCCAATGGGGAGAAAGTGTGCCTGTTAAAAAGTACATAAAATAAAATAAGTTCTGAGCCATCAAAGAACTTTTCTTTCTATTGTTCTTTATATTTCTGAAAGACAAGCACTTCAGAATGTCTGTAATGCCAGCCAGCTGCTTTCTTCCGAGCCAGTAACTGCCACCTGTTTTGCTTTTGAGAGGTTTAAGGAGAACCTTTCACCCATAGGAACATGTACTTGGGCAAGCAATTTAGCTCATTTGCAGTCTGCTTGGAGTGTCAAAACCACACAGTCCAGATGCTCCTGTAAGAACAGGCACGTTCAGTGTCAACCACCAAACAATGGGAACCACTGTACGAAAATAAAACATGGCAAGTTACAGGGCATTTTATTGTTTTCCAAACTGGTTACCAAGGACATCAGATGGGGGTAAGTGAAATATGATGTTATTTCAAAGCAGCTTCCTGATAGAATTAGACTTCCCTGTATGGTTTATTCTTGCTATTTTTCCACCAGACCTCATCGTAAATACAGATGTGTAAACTGTGCCTTATGTGCTGACCATTCTTACTTGTTAATACACACAGACAGCTTTCATCCTTTCCATTCTATGAAAGTTCTGAGCTTGAATATTCAACAGTCAAAATCTTTAGCAAAGTCAGCTGTGGACTTCTTAGGTATGCAAAACTAGATGCTTTGTGAGTGGCCAGCAGACCCCACTCAGGCGTTTGTCTTACTACTCAGGTGTCTTTTATTTGCTAGTAGATTGTAAACTATTATAATCATTAATGCCTTCTAATACTAAAGCAAAAACAAAAGTCTCCTCCCTGATGACCCCTCCCTCCACAAAAACAAACAAACAAACAAACAAACAAACAAAACACAGAATGCTGTATTTCTTGGGAAAGCCATTTAAAAACAATGGTGGGTCAAAAAAAATGCCCTCACTGGTCCATTCTTTCTCCCACTCCTCTCCACTCTGTAGCAGTTTTAGTCAATGGAATGTGGCAGAAGTGACCGTATATTTCTCTAATATTGGTTTATAAAACCCCCGTGGCTTCCATCATGGTCCTGTTTGCCTTTTCTCTGATTACCTGCATGAATAAAAGTTAGCTGATGTATATGAGCAGCTGTATGGAAAGGCACACATGGCCAAGAAAA